TGCTTCTCACTTTCCCTCTCTCTGTCTCTGTCTCTCTCTCTCTCTCTCACTCTGTCCCTCCCTGGTCAAATTAAAATGAATAAAATAAATAAAGCTCAATAAAATAATTATTAAAAAAAAAAGTAGTGGGATCCTGCATGGCTGACCCCATGGTTCGAGACCCTGACCTGTGGCTTGAAAAACACATTCTTTCTCACCCAAGTCTCTCTAAAGAAGTATGAAATAATCCCCACAAGGTGCTAAAGTTGCTGGCCACTCAATATCTTTGAAATCCTGATTATCGTCTTAAAAAGGCACACACAGGGACCAGCAGTTAACATAATGGCTATGTCACTGGACTTCCATGTAGTCAACTGCGGTTCGCGTCCCAGACTCGGTGGCTTAAAACTCACGCCGGGCGCGTGTGCGTGCATGCCCAAGATCCTGAGAGGAGAATGGAGGAGAAGGGATTGCGGCGTGGCCATCTCCCCTGGGGGGTGATTTCTCGCTTTCTGTCTCTCTGTCTCTCTCTGTCTGTCTGGCGAGCGCAGGCGCCCTATAGCAAAAAAAAAAAAAAAAAAAAAAAAACTCTCAAAAAAAAAGGCGCACACAGAGCCAGCCAGTGGCATGGTGGTTAAGGCAGCTAGATCCCATATGGCCGACTGTGGAGTTCAAGTCCACTGGATCCACTGGCTTGAAGGGCATGCTGGGTGCATGTGTGTGCATACCCAAACCCCACCAGGAGAAGGGACCGGGGCAAGGTCATCTCCCCGGGGGGTGATTTCTCACTTTACTTTTCTCTTTCTCTCTCTTTCTCTGGTGAGCACATGCACCCTGTGACAAAACTAAAGGAAAAAAACAATGACATGCACATTTTACCAATGGCTCTATAAGCATTCATGATTATTCTTGTTTAAGAATTGTTTTATTTAACTTAATTTAATTTATTTATTTTAATTTGATCAGAGAGGGACAGAGTGAGAGAGAGAGAGAAAGAGAGATGGAGAGTGAGAAAGTAAGCCGCCAGGTCCGGGACTGTAACCGCAGTTGGCCAGGTGGGAGTCCAGCGCCCTTAATCACCATGCCCCCTGCCAGCCCCCATTCATGATTATTTTCACAGAAAAAGGGTTACTTCACGCTAGATACAAAAGAAAACGAGAGCTCTAGGACTCCCAGGCCTAACTGTGTTAAGCCTGCCCAGTCCAGGCCTGTTCCCTGGGGAAAGGCAAACCTCGAGAGGCGAATCTCGCTTTTCACGGGGGCTTCAAGTGTGACAACGGTGGGGAGGGGACTGGGGCTGCAAGCCTCGGCCTGAGGACCCCTAACCCAGGACAGGTAGGTCTGAATCGGCGGAGTCTGTGCCACCGTGCCAGCACCTCTGATGGAGCAGCCTGGAGCACAGAGATGAGGGGACTCCTGTCCTCCCTGCACCCTCTGCCTGGATGACTGGTGTCTGCCCCCTCAGGTGTCTACTCCTCCTCAGCCAGGGGTTATGGGGTTCTTACTTCCCTGAAGGAAGAACAGAGCTTCAGAGGGTTAATCATCCAAATGGATGTAGGAGAGCTCCGCCTCTTCAAACCTGTTCTCACCCTCTACAACTGAAGGCCAGCGCCCCCAATGCATATTCCCAACTCCTTTGGAAAAGCGGAGTACACATGCCCTAAACTCACCCTCCAGGGTGGGGTTAAGAGCATATCATGGCAGAAGAAGAAAAGGAGGGTCCCAGCTTTTCCCACGCTAAAACTCAGGCCTTCCGGCTCCCGGGTCCACCAGGCTGAGCTACCTAGCATGAACTCACTTTGTGACCTTAGACCCACGTCACCCAGCCTCAGCAAAGGCTGAGGTGTGTGTGAGGAAAAAGACGTGTTCCATGCAGGCCGACAGGTGGCATAGTGGTTAAGGCACTAGGCTCCCACATAGTCAACCACGGTTCGTGTCTTGGATCTGGTGCCTTGAAACACGTCGGGCGCATGTATGTACCCAAAATCCTGAGAGGAGAATGGAGAAGGGATTGTGGTATGGCCATCTCCCCTGGGGGACTGATCTCTCCCTGTCTCTCTCTGAAAAACATGAGTGCCCTAGGGCAAAAAGCTTTAAAAAAAAAAAGTGTTTCAAAAGGCTGGATGTGGTCAGAGAGTCAGGGACCTAGATGCATATTAAAGGGTTGGACTTGACCCTATAAGCTAAACAAAACCACTACAGGTTTTTTTAGCATGTATGAGTCAGTTCTCCACCTTAGATCTTTTTTTTTTCTTTTTTTTTTTTTAATTTTTACTATAGGGTGAGTGTACTTGCTGGAAACAGAGGGACAGTGAGAAAGCACACCACAGGAGGAATGGCCACACCATGATCCCTTCTCTCCATATCTTCCTCCTATGGAATTCTAGGCCTGCAAGCACAGAAGCCTGACATGCTCTTCAGTCCATCAGGTCTGGGACTCAAACCACGCAGTCAGCCACGTGGGATCCAGCTGGCTTAACCTCCGTGCCATCTGCGGGCCCCACCAGGTAAGATCATTCTAAGGAAGTCATGTAAATGACAGATTAGAGACAGAGAGATCAGAGACAGGGAGACCAGCTGAAAGGACTTGGCCTGGAACAGGGAGAAAGGCCTGCATTAGAATAAAGGCAAAGGCGCAGCCCTGTGCCCCCCCCCCCCCCCGCCCCCCCCCCCCCCCGGTGTTGAGGCGACTCACCCAGCCTGCCTGCCCCCCCCTCCTCGTGTTGAGGCGAAAGAAAACCCAGGTGACCTCAGTGCCCCCCCGAGGCAGCTCCGTACCTTGATCCCTGGGAACGTGATGGCAGAAGAAGCGTAGGAGCCGATCATGAGGGCCATGAAGGTGGAGCGCAGGTTCCCAAACATGTTGGGCAGCTGAGGAGGAGAGCAGTGAGCCGTGAGCAGGGGATACCCTGACATCCACCGGGGATCCCCTTCCAAGCTCCCCTGAGAAAGCTTGAAGGCACTCTGCAAAGTGAGCTCCAGGAATGATATGAAAGGCCTTCAAAACACACATAGGAAATACATATTATGAAAAATCTGGGGGCCGGCAGGTGGCGTGGTGGTTAAGGACACTGGACTCCACCATGGCCAACTGCGGTTTGAGTCCTGGACCTGGTGGCTTGCTTTCTCACTTCCCCCTTCTCTCTCACTCTGTCCCTCTCTGCTCAAATTAAAATAATTAAGGTTCCATAAAATAATTCTTGTTTAAAATTTTTTAAAAAACTGAAAAATTTGTGCATGGATTTCCAATTTTTTTGCACCAAAAAACTCATACATTCCATTTTTTCCATGAACTTTTCTGAGATTGCCCTCACAGCCCTGGGCAACAGAAAAGTCTCAAAGCAAAATCAATGTGGAAAATGGCGCTCATCCCTCCCCACACTCACAATGCACTTTATCATCTAAAAGGCTCCGGGAAGTGCCCTCAGAGAGAAACGTTCATTCTGTTTAATCCCGGCATTTCCCAGGTTTGCGGTTTGTGGAGCCTGCTTATCGTGCGCCGCCTCTGAAACCCACGGAGCAGGTGTTGAGGAACGCTCATCTTCTTTTCCAGATGAGAACACTGAGGCCAGCGGTCTCAGGTTCGCAGAGCTCATTCATGACTTCCTCCTCTGTTCTGGCCATCCTAGTCCCACCCCAGGCTGTTGTAACAGGGCAGTGCCCCTTAACTCTATCAGTGGTCCCCAAAGCCCCAGAGCTGTTTCGGCTGAACCAGGACAAGTTACGGGAAAGGCGGGAAGGGCGAAGGAGGCCAGGGAGGAAGTAAGGGGGGTGGGCAGGCCAGGTCTCCAGAGGCGCGCAGCGCAGGCTCCGGAACTCCCTGCAGAGAATTCCTTGATGGTATGTTCTGCTCGCTGGCCTGAGCCAGGCTTGCAGGGGAAAGGAAGACAAAGCCACGTGCCCTTCTCAGACACTTTGGCCACTCCATCTTCCCCAGGTCACCAGATCCCACAGCTGGAAAGGACTTAAACGCTCCTCCGGGGAAAATGCTCAGAAGAGAGCGCTCAAATAACTCTGGGAAGAAATAACTGAGTATTTCCTAGCTAACCCCCAAGTGCCTCCGGAAACCGAGTGGGGCCAGGCCTAGTCCAACCAGGGCAGAGGTTTCCCTGGCACCCTGTATCTGCAAGGCATGCTGCCAAGGACTCCAGGGAAGGGTGCCAGGGCGGGGGCCCTCCCCCGAAGGGTCCCGGGCCGCCGTCTCCGCCCAGCACCGCGGGGAGGGCACTGGCAGTGGCTGGGACCAACAGCTGCCTGGAAGCCCTAAACATCCCGGCAAGTCTAGCTGAGCCAGCGCCCGCGGCCTGCGGGGCGGGGCGGGAGCAGAGGGCGGGGCCGGCG